GATTCGGTAGTAATCAGCTAGTTACCGTTTTTTTCAAAGTCTACATCTTTTTATGAGCTTAAGTATACATCTGAATTGGCGAGCATCAATCCAACAAAGTTAAGCATGCTTACGATAGAAAGAAATGAGATATCCTAGTAGTGAAGTGTTCGATGGAGCACAGGTCGACACTCAGGATTTATCGAAATTCTATGTTGTCGGATTGAAAGACCAGCACAACTCTTTATTGTTTTCGTTGACCTTACGTAGAAAAATGTGATCTTTACGGGAAAAAGGGCAGCAGCTGGTACCACTGGGGGATCAAAAGGTGGGAAATGCAGATTATGCGGCAGTACGCTTCTGTTCATTATACTTATAGTAAAGGATAGTGAAAACAAGATGGACGGGATAGGGAGCCTGAAGTCAAAACCTTGAGCCTCAGGACATTAGCTTTCTTTCGACTGTGATGTTTCGTTCGTGGCAATGTTCACGCATGCTGCTATGTTATGTTCCCCTCTGCAGGGATCAAACCTACTAGCCTAGCCTATAGTGCTGGCCAAAACTATAGATCCACTCTAAAAACTGCCGTAGTTCATCTGCTTCTCAACGAATTGATCTGAAATCTGGTACAGTTGTGTGTTCGACAGGCTTCCATCAGTGACTGGAGCGGATCCCGCTTTCGCTAGATTATTCAGGAAAAAAATCAAAAATTTCGAAAAAAGCAGGTTTGAAGGTTGGCCAAAACTATAGATCCACCTAAAATTTCTGTCTGCTAAAGTATAATAATTCTCGGCTTCCAAAGTCTTTTGTGCATATACATAGTTGAAAGTCAAAGCAGTGGCTTTAGTCCAGCTATGTCATACATTTATAAGAAACGCTTATCTGCTTTTTTTTTCACTTTTCTGACTTTATCACTTACTTTCATGCGTATTTTGTTCCCGAGGTGTTTTTATAGAAGATTCCGCACTTTTTTGACTGATTCGAAAGTGATAGGGCTCAATCTGTCTTATAGATGCTTAGCAGTGTGAGCAGTAGAAGAAAATTCGAGTTTTCATATCCAAGGCGCACCCAACATAGACCTAACTGCAGGCCTGCGTTCAAATTCATGCCTTTATCTTTCTGCAATGATGTAATGAGCAACTGGAGTAATGACATTGTTAGTATGTATGAGAGTCCGTATGCAGTGGTTGCAGATTTCTGCAGATCTTAGTATGCAGGCTAGTTGAGGCCTTCATCCTGCAAAAGTGATTTGCAACAAGCCTTGAAGTGATTTCTGGTTCTGACCATAATGCTTATGTGAGTCACAAGGCAACATAGAATACAGGGTGTGTTCACTAGTTACCAGCTAAATAGTAGCAAAATTCAAAGAAGGTACCACTTGGTAAGTACTTTGATATGCCGAACACACCGCAAGACTTATGCTTTGAAAAAGAATCAAAATGCAACTTCGCAAACAATCCTGACTATAGTTTACAAACATCTTTCTATGTTAATAATGCTAAATAATGCTTCTACATTATTGAGTTTACAAAAATAGCGTACACCAATTTTTAAGGCAAAAACTCGAGCGCAGGCCTGCGGTTAGGTCTATGTTGGGTGCGCTTTGGATATGAAAACTCGAATTTTCTTCTACTGCTCACACTGCTAAGCATCTATAAGACAGATCGAGCGCTATCACTTTCGAACCAGTCAAAAAAGTGCGGAATCTTCTATAAAAACACATTCTCGGGAACAAAATACGCATAAAAGTATTTTTAAGTGAAAAAAAGCAGATAAGCGTTGACTATTTACTTAATTTTGTTTTACTTTATTGTTTCTTTTTCGCCAGTCATGAACAGCTAATGTGTTGATCGTGAAGTTCAGGAGATTTGCTGTTCTACCTATGAATGACCAAGTGACTGGATATCCAACTTTGGGCCCGTATGCACGTACAGGGCTTTTCAACATAAGAGTCACAGCCTCCGCTTGCGCGGCTCCTCCAACGCGGCCCCTCGCTCAGGCCGCGCGCGGCGTTTGCGGCGTATCGCCCGGGCTTTTGCCAAGCTTCAGTCGACGCGCAGCCAGCGCCACGAACGCTGCACGGACCTAAGCGTGGCGGCCGAGCGGGGCGGCTGTGACACTCAGGTTGTAAAGCCCTGTACATCCCCGCTGGGGAGGGGAGGGGATCTGAGAGGAAGTACGTCATATCTCGCTACTCTACGTATCTTTCTTCTTCTTTCTCTATCTTGCTTATGAAGTTTTTCATACACTCATACCTGCGCATAATGGATGCCAGGTTCCTTCCATACAGGAATGGTTTTTTGCCATTTTGTGCGATCCCCTGCGGATCCCCAGGGGATCCCAAGGGATTAGCTCTCATTTTCAAAGTGATTTATCTTCCTGAGAAGTCAATGAAAACAGCGCGAAATTGTACTCAGAATATAATACGGCACTGCTAAGCATGTTTTCAACAGGGGAAATGGAATCTGAAGATTATGAATTTTTCGATGATCCCTAGCTTTCGAGCCGGGGATTAACGAAGATTTCGACATCCTGAGATTTCATTTATTTCTACTATAAACATCTTTAGCAATGCCGTAGTATATCCACAGTACAATTTTACAGCGTTTTCATTGAGTTTTCAGGAAGATAAATGGCACTGAAATTGAGAAGTGATCCCCTGGAGATCCCCAGGGGATCTCCAGGGGATCACACAAAATAGTAAAAATCCAATCAATTATGCCAGTAAACTGGCATCAGTTATGCGCATATATCAGCGTATGAGAAACTTCATAAGCAAGATAGAAAAGGAAGAAGAGAGATACCTTGAGTAGCGAGATATGACGCATCCCCTCTCAGATCCCCTCCCCTCCCCAGCGGGGATGTACGCGCATACGGGCCTTGGAGTGTGAAATCAATCTAGAACACCTCAGGCATGATTGTCTGAGTGACCTAACATCGTACGACAAATTCACACGCAATTTCGATTGTGTTACAGATCGATTTATATTGAGGACAGCAGGTTTGGAAGTTTTTGACTATGATTAAGGTTTCAAAACCTACTTTTCCGATAAAAGAGGGTATTCGTGTTAGTCATTCAGCAATGATAGTGATGTTTCTTAATAAGCTGACTTCTTTTTGAACTAAACTTGAGAGTGCACAATAATATTCATTATAGTAACAGATGTGAATGAAAAAAGAACACCTTTTCAAGCATGAAAGAGTTTCCTCATACTTACAATTGAAAATCAATTTGGACAAACTTACTAGGAACAAATAGCTGAAATACATTGAAAGGAGCTTGCGAACTAATTTATAATGAAAAAAGATCTGAAAACTGATTTTTGATTTAGTCGAAATTTCAAAATCTACTTTTTTCCAAATTGCAACCAACTGAAGAAGCATGAACGAAATATTAGAGGGTTTTCCAATGGCTGCAACGCATTCTAGGCTAATTAACAAGGGGGTGGAGCGATCAGCGCACCTCGTACGGTATCCAGCTGGCGGCTGGCACATGCTATCGTTCATAAAGTCGTACACCCCTAAGCATCTATAAGATAGATGGAGCCCTATCACATTCAAACCACTTAAAAAAGTGCGGAATCCGCTTTAAAAACACATTCTCGGGAACAAAATACGCATAAAAGTTTTTTAAGTGAAAAAAAAGCAGATAAGCGTTTCTTATAAATGTATGACACAACTGGACTAAAGCCACTGCTTTGGCTTTCAACTATGTATATGCACAAAAGACTTTGGAAGCCGAGAATTACTTTAGCAGACAGAAATTTTAGGTGGATCTATAGTTTTGGCCAACCTTCAAGCCTGCTTTTTTCGAAATTTTTGATTTTTTTCCTGAATAATCTAGCGAAAGCGGGATCCGCTCCAGTCACTGATGGAAGCCTGTCGAACACACAACTGTACCGAATTTCAGATAAATTCGTCGAGAAGCAGATGAACTACAGCAGTTTTAGATTGGATCTATAGTTTTGGCCAGCACTGTATAGCTCAGTACTCTAAAGACAAAAATATTTGATTTCGGCTTTTCAAGAGGTTTCTTTTTTTCCACTTCCTATATGAGCTACTGAACAAAGTATGTTGTTTGATGAACTGTTCGGTGTTATGTATGATCTCCGCGGAATCAGTTTCGGCGCCCTTTTCATACAGCACCTCCACCCTTGTCCGGACTTTGCCTTCAAATGTGGCTTTAGGTTGAAGGTCGACCAAAAGCACACCTTTTTCGGACTACTGGTCTCATCATTATGCTACTGTAAAAAAGGATGGGGATAGAGGAGGAACGGACACTTCCATCAGGCGCCGTTTATGGGAACTGCTGACGTATAAGGATCGACAGATTTCGCATAATCGCGAGAGTCGGTGAGTTTGCGGCCGTTGCACACGCAGGTGGCCACAAGTTTCAAACCAAGAAACGATCCCGTACTTTTCAGAATCGTTTCAGGTAATTGGAAGCTAATATCTTGAAGTACGAGGTTTCAACGTGCGTGCAATGGACGCAAACTCACCGACTCTCGCGATTACACAGAGCCCTATGACACGATATGCGTTAGCAGTGAGCGAAAGACCAGCAACCCTCGGAGGCTGCGCCTAATTGAGGCATTCGTTCTCTACCCAAGGGTGAGTAATTTACAACCCTTAGACGATCGACAGATTTCTTTTCTTGTCATTGTGACTTTATCGCCGAGGGATACCATACGATGATCATCACAGTATGCGTAGAAGAAGGGGAGGGAGTAGCAAATTATAAAACTTCATTTCTGGGGTAGATGCACAGCTCAAATCGCTTTCTGGAGTTCAGCATACTATGCAGAAAATTCCACTCAAGTTCGCGGTTTACATGCAGCGGTTGTAGGACTATAGTTGCTCTGTGCAAACGACAAGCTAATTAATCTTTATTGACACCGTGTGTACGCCGAACGTGGCTATCGTGAGCAGCATGGGATGCGAAAGGTTTGCCACAGAATGCGCACTGTAACAACGGTATATTTTACTAGATAACTTTTTCCAGTACTGACTTATGCTCTTACCTTAAATGGTTTCTCACCGCTGTGCTGACGGACATGTGTGCGAAGTATCGAAGATGCCGTGAAAGCTTTTGGACAGAATGAACACTTGTATGGTCGCTCTCCGGAATGAACACGAAGATGCTGCAACAGGAAGTTTTGGAAACCCGGTTTGCCAGAATTTGTGTTCCTATTCCACAAAACTATATAAAACTATTCTATACAGGACTCAGCACAAGGTGGTATTTGAGAATCTTGCGGACGAAGTGCCTTTTGACTTACAGAAATTTACGAATACCGTTTTGTAGTTTTTGTAGAAGGGCTTATCGGCAGCGAACGTTGAGTGGATAGAAGTGACGAATAAATCAAGGAAGTTAGAGACAAAACAACAAAGGCGAAAAACTGGGATTTTTCTATATCATTAAGAGCTGTAGCAAAGCAGAGGGGTCGAAACTTGAGTTAAGGTGAATATTCATTGGTAGAGCTTGCACTAAAAATTAGATTTATGTCAAAATTCCGAAAAATTATGTGATGAAGGGGGTAAAGTATGACTTTGTTTGGTCCCGCGCATCCTCAGGGTGCTTCCAGGTTGTGCGGAAGCAACCTAAATATGAAAAGCACTTACAACTGCTTCCATTCACATAACTTCTTCATAATTTTTCATACTTTAGTTTTGATCATTGTCGTGAAGCTATACACCAAGATGGCTCAGTTTAGCTTATTCGTTGAAAACAAACTGATTGCTTATCTTCTTGGTATAAAGGGGAGGGCGTGCAGGAGTTCCTAGCACCTTTCCTCGCACCAAGTTCGCACCATCAATCGCACCAGGAGGGTTCTAGCACCTCCGCATCTGACAAGGAGAGGATACTTAGTCGAAAGCACCAATCCAGATGAGGCGTATATCATCTTAAAGCGCTTGAAACGCTGATTCCAAATCTGCAGTTTCTAGCTGCGGAGCGGTTTTGTAGAGGGAGTTATGAGGGGTGTTCGTCTGGGGTTGAGGCGCCCTCCACCAGGTTTCCCCTACTTATGAGCACTGTAGAGGAGTACCAACTGGTGGCAATCGACCTAGTGGTAAGCGACGTGCTTGATGAAGAGAGTATCAAGGTTTTAATCCCCTTCGCATGCTAAATTGGACTTCTAAATGGCTTTAGAGCCCTAAAGCATAAAACCTCTGATGATATTGATACTAATCGAAGTTAGAAGTGTTAAAAAAACCAAAGTAATATGAGTATTATAATCTTTACTGTAATCTTCATTCAAGTTACTTACCATGAGGTCAGTTGCCATCAGCTGATACTCCTCTACAGTGCTTACAGAAAGGGGAGACCGCTGGAGGGTGCCTAAACCCCAGAGGGGAACACCCTTCATAACTCCTTCTACAAAACCGCTCCGCAGCTAGAAACTGCAGATTTGGAATCAGCGTTTCAAGCGCTTCAAGATGATTTATGTCTCATCTGGATTGGTGCTTTCGACTAAGTATCCTCTCCTTGTCAGAGGTCAGGGACCGCCCATTGCTCCACCCCATTTCATTGTGTGGTGAGCAAGTAGAGAGAACAGAGATCAGAAATTGAAGTATTGGGAAAGAAAAAATTGGAAAAAAGAAGTAGTTGTCATTTCATAGTTGAACTATAGGGAAACAACTATGAGCATGTGATTTTCACTGATTACAGACTTCAGTAATAAGTACGCTTATTCAAGTTAGTATCAAAACTTTAGTATGAATGCAGCGCCCAGTTTTATTTTTTTCAAATTGGCGGTTAGCAGTTCAGATATAAAAAATTATCTCTAGAAATAAATGTTGCCACTCTCTGGACCGTTCGATTTGAAAATTTGATTGTTTGGAATGAAAAATCGGCTGCTCAAGTATATAAATAAGTTGATCACTTGTGCATTTCCTTGAAGAAAATCGGTCATACTACTAGAAGATTTCGAAGTTTGCATATTAGGTGGCCAACTTAGATGCTGGCTAAGGGCATTCGCGTTCGAGTTCTCAAATGACTGTACTTATCGAAGGCTAGAAATCTACTTTTCGTAGATCCGACATTAGAAAAAATTATTTTGTAACAAGCTTTCGGTTTCCTTCACTCTGATATGTTGTTCATATGCTTGAATGTTTGTACTTGGACGCTTGTTGGCCACGTTCTCTTGTTCGGAGATTCGAGCGCTTGACATAAGGTAATTTAGCATCTATCTATCTATAGCATAGCATAACAAAAGATTTCTAAGGAAGCAGGTAAAGACGGCCAAAAAAGTGTTGCTTTACTCATCTTTAAGACATAACTAACACTGATAACTAAGATTTTGTGAATTTATCTGCACTCATTCACTGTTTCTAATGTTTGAAAGAAAATTGAATTCAATTAACGAAATTTCTCGAATCAGCTTGAAATTGCTCCTCACTTTTTATAAATACAAAGATTCCGCTGCGCTTACACAATCTAAAATGAGCGCACTTAGAAGGCGGAGAAAAAGGCGGAGCCGTTCCTCGACCTGTGGAGGTGTGATGTCCCTTCCAGGTTTCTCTGAAGGTGCTCATCACTCCTGCAAGGACAGTCGGCGAGGCTTTGGGAACTCCTACCACGCCGCCGTATAAAGGTCATGTTTCAATGCGTGATCGCGTGCAAACAAGTTTACGCACTGTTTGTAACATATTATATACCTGCTACTGATAAAATGACGTTAGGCCCTCAAATCCGGGCACAGGAAATATGCTTGCTGTCATCTTTACATCCGGGAATCACCCCTGGAGATTTTAAAGTTTCTCTTTTGCTTTCCCCTTATAAAACAACATCTAGCGTGTGAAAGCGCCACTTTCGCTGAGTCGTGATTCTATATTCTGACTGTATTCTTTGAAGAAATTTGTGATGATGGAATGCTTCCCATTCACTTTTCGTCTTTGTGTTATGAAGTGGAAATGCATGAATGACTTCAGAGGAGCAAAATAGTCTGGGCAAACCCCATTTATTCGTTATTTCATAACAAAGGTTGTTTCTGCTAGTTCTAGAAAAATCAATAGTGTATAGTCTGTTTCAAGGCGGATGAGGCGAAATATTTAATGTGGAGCAGCGCGTCTGTATCGCTGGAGGCTTTGCGAGCATATAGCGCTGGCAGTTTGCCAGTCAAAGGCTGAGGAGAAGGGAAAGGCGCAGACATGGTCCTTTGACACGATATGAGCTGCAGTTGCGAAATGGCGGGAACCCTGCGAGGCGAACGCGCCATTCCACTCTCCGCCCAAACTAAGTTGGAACTTACTGATCATATTCCGCTAAACGGCGCAACCTTACTGGGATTTTCGCGCTCTGTTCGGTCAATATGGCATTACAACTACGTAACCAGTTCGTCCATTCCACTTCTATCCTTTAATTCAACGGGATTGGCGGCTGGAGATCGACCGTTCGCCTGCAACAGTCTGCGTTTCTTTCGCAAGCATGCTCTCTGGTCGAGCATTCCCTACCCTTGGTTAGGCCTCGAAGCCCTTCCTTCCAACCGCCAATCTCGTTGATCAAAGGGTATATGGGACGCAACTGCACACTCGCTGAAGTCTACCGCCGTACGCCTGAGCTAAGCGGACGCGGCGCGGCGCGCAGCAACCACTGTTACATTAAAGGCAGTGTCTCACCAAAGTTGAGGTCGCGCGGATCTTCACATATTCTATCATAGGGACCTCTAAATAGGCCATTGCAACAAGTCCCACTTAATTTGACCCCCTCCACGCTGAGAAAAATTTGCTCAAAGTGGTACGCGGAGAGCTATGTGGTACGCGCGGACGACTCCTTCGGTCTCTCCCTTTACGCGTTTGAACATGTCCCTCCACTTGGCATCAACCTCCCCTGTGTTGCTGCCACTGTGGCAGAGGCTGAAGTTGGAAGGTACAACTCGTCCACGTTGCTTCCGCGAGGCCTCCAGAAAACGGGGTTTTTGGGAACTTCCTGCGATTTTAGGCCCATATATTGCTAGACAAGGCCCGAGAGGCTTGCAAAATGCAAAAATCTCGGCAACTAAATTTTGGTGAGACACTGCCTTTAAGTTTCAGATCAGTTTAGGCGGGGATTGAATAGGCGGGCGTCCGCTTCGCAACGGTTCGCGACGTTTCGCAGCCACAGTATATCAAATCGTGCTAAGAGCCCATGCCGCCTACTCCTGCACAAAACAGACTGTAACTCTCCGTCTAGGTGGATTGGAATGGATTGGGCAGAGACCTCTTTCTACAGAGTGATTTCATAAAGAGTGAATACAGGACTTGTCGCAATTATTGTTTCCTTGCTTGGGCTTGCGGACGCTTGTTTGAATGCATCATATCCCCCGGGCATTTGGCCAATCCTCAATTCCTAGCGCCGACGCGAGCAAGCCGTTTTCTTAGTCTTTGTTTTCGAGTTCCTGACTCTTGTTCTCGAAATGACAGTTTTCTACCATATCAGGGTTTGACACGTTTTCAGATCTCCAAGGCGCTTTTCTGCTTATTATGCGGGAGAAATAAAAACAGACTGTACACTTCCTCCCGCCGGATCGACTAAGATTAAAGTGATGCGCATTCGCATTGCCACGATCTTGCGTCGCGCTTACAACTTGGTGGTCCACTCTCGCTTCAATTTTTGTTTCTGTTTTGTTTCGTTTTGGCCTGATCCAGATTGGGGCAGGCTTACTTTTGTTTGTTCCCACCAAAATGTAATGTGTAATGACATAGCTTGAATGTCTGTCTTCTTCTGTGTGTCTGGTGTTTGTTCGAAGAATTCATAACTCTAGCCGCACCCTGTTATTAGGGCCTGGCACAGATCGAATGGAAGCAGGCTTGACTTCGTTTTTGGGACAAAATGCGGGGCGGAGCCCGCAAAAACGACAAAAATTGCGCACATGCATTGCTAGTGAAGTATATAGAGGAAAATTGCTCATACAGTTGCAAGACAATTCAACACATTTCCTGTAGCGCCAGAAGCGATCACTTAGTCAAGCACAAGCCTTAAAGACATGTCATCATACGATCAGGGTCAAGCGTGGGGTGTGGCATGGGGGGGGTCGTTATCAAGGCGTCCGCTTCGCATAACACGATATTCGTTAACAATGTCAAATGGGCCCGTCATGCAAAATTGCCTAGCAACTAGCACATTGATGTTTGACCCATTATCGTATTATACCCATCATTC